CACCGTCTCAGGTATGACCGATGCTGCGCGCGGGAGGCTTCGGTTGGCGTTTCGCACGTCCGCGCGCGGCAGAAGTTGGGGTGCCGGAGCTGACGTCATCTCCTGCCACCAGGAGGCGCTATCAAGAAGCCTCTTCGGGACTCGGTGGTAGCCGACTCGCAGACGGCCGAGCTCTCGTGCGAGGTCGCCAACCCGTCCGCGGAAGGCAAGTGGCTGAAAGACGGCCAGCCGCTGGACTTCAACGACAACGTCCTCGGCCGGGTCGACGGGTGCGTCAGAAGCCTCGTCATCGTCATCGCCAAAGCCGGCGACGTTGGAGAGTACGCCTACCAGATTGCGAGCTCCAAGACCTCGGCCTACCTCAAAGTCGAAGGTAAGCCTCGCCCGGGACCGATGCGTGGATGGACGCGCTTCCAATCGGAAACTGGGTTTGGATTGAACGCGCGTCCATCCAATCGTAACAAACCGAATCGTTACGCTTGAAAATGTTTTGCGGATCAAATTGTCTCGAATCGGAGAGATGCGCGACCCTGACGCGCGGACGGCTCTTCGAGCCACTTCCTGACAGAGTCAGCTGAGGCCGGGAAAGCTGAAGTCTGGGACAAAACTTGAATGTTTCTTCCACAGCCGTGAAGGTGAGGAAGACTTTGAAGAACTTGAACGTGGTCCAGACGCAAGACGCCGTCTTCAGCCTGGAGCTGACCCACGAAAACGTCAGGGGAGCCCAGTGGATCAAGAACGGAGTGGAGATCAAGCCAAGCGACAAATACCAAATCGGCGTCAGCGGCACCGCGCACACCTTGACCATCGTCGACTGCGCGGCCCAGGACGAGTCCGTTTATTCTTTCAAGCTGGGGAAACTGTCGGCCAGCGCCAGGTTGAACGTCGAAAGTAAGCGCTCGTCACTCGGTCTGCTCGAGAGAAGTGGCGTGTCTGCGCGTACGACAAATTCGCCAGCACGTGGCCTTCCCAGTCTCTCCTTTTCCGAGCGCTTTCCGCATCTCGCCCGCTTCTCCGATCAACTATTCAAGACGTCCAATCCATTTGGTAATAGCCACTTCTAAAGGGACTGACGTCATGACGGTGACTTGAATTGGAGTGTCAGCATCGCCGAGTAGTCGACGGTGCGCTGCCCGTTTTAGCATCCAAAGAGCAATACCGAAAAGTCAATGAATTGGCCAGTCCCGCAACCGCAATTGCCATGGCGTCTGTTTTTGCAGCCACGTGCCTGCTGAAATGTAAGTTAGCAAAACGGACCTCTTCTCTCGAATGACGCTCGGCACGTTCAACCCGCGGCCTCCCGGAAGACTCATTCAAGCCATTCCCCGCTTTCGCCACAACTCCACCCCTGCCAAGCGGCATCGAGCGAAAGGCTTCGTTTACTTGAGCGGGGCGACCGGCAACGTCCGCCGTCGGAATCACAACAAATGTTCCTCGCAGCCATCAAGATCCTGAAGAAGCCCAAGGACGTCACTTCGCTCCCGGGAGCCGCCGCCGTTTTCGAGCTGGCCGTCTCGGAGGACGACGTTCCGGTCAAGTGGCTGTTCAACAACTTGGAGCTGGAGGCCAACGAGCACTACGGGATGACCTCGGAGAAGAAGGCGCACCAACTGGTGGTCCGGGACGTGGACGGAAGCAAAGAGGGGGAGTACACGGCGGCGGTCGGCCATCTGCGCTGCAGCGCTCGCCTCGCCGTCGACGGTGAGCGGCCGCGCGACCCGAGGCCAGCGCGAAAAACCGCTCGGTAGTCGCGTACGGGCGAAGACCGTGTTTGAAGCCGCCGTTTGTCATGGCGCTTGACGATTCGCCGGTATGAGGGCAACGAGCGCGCCATTTATTTCTTCCCGCTCCGTCAGCGTGATCGCCCGACTCCCATCAGGTTCCGCTAACTCTCGAATGAAGACTGCCTCGGTGAAGCGCCTTCATATCCTTCGGCACTCAGACTGAATGTTACTCTTCCACGTAGCCGATGCGAAACCGGCTCACCGATGGAATACGAAAGACGGCCGTGTGAAAGTTGAAGGCGAATTCAATACACACGCGCCATGTTCGGCTTCTCACTTAGCGTTAGCGGCTAACGCTAACCCTTGGCTCCGCAGCTCTTCGCGTGACCAAACCCCCGAAGAGCGCCACGGTGGCCGAGACCCAGTCGGCCACCTTCGAGTGCGAGGTGTCCCACTTCAACGTGCCGTCCGCCTGGCTGAAGAACGGCGCGAAGATCCAGATGAGCGACAACTTGCGCATGACGGCGCGGGGAAAAGTCCACCAGCTCAATATCGTCGACGCCGGCGGGGCCGACGCGGCCGAGTACGCCTTCGTGTGCGGTGACGACCGCGTGTCGGCCACGCTCACCGTCAGCCGTAAGTTTGGGAAACGTTTCGCCAACACGATGAATCGCCGTTCGATTGGCACAGTGCAACTTACAGATCGCCCTCGACTTAATGTATCGCTTCTAAAGTCGACTCGAAATCATTTCCGGTCTGGACCACCTCAACTGGCTCAGGTGTGCCCTTGTCAGAGGACAAAACGGGTGCCGTCCTCCGTCCCGAACCCCGCCGGCCGCCTCCGCTCGAGAAGACAAGCGACCAAAGCGACTGCCGAGTTCTTCCCAAGGCGCTTATTTCGTTTCTTTTGCCTTTTTGCAGCCATCGTCATCTCGGCCGCGCTTCAGGACATCAACGCTCGGGAGAAGGACGCGGTCACCTTCGAAGTCAACGTCAACCACGAGGGAATCTGCCCCAAGTGGCTGAAGAACGGCGCCGAGATCCGCTCCAGCGACAGATGCCAGGCCCGCTGCAAGCGGCAAGCGCACACGCTCAGCATCCGCAGCGTTCACTTCGGAGACGCCGCCGAGTACGCCTTTGTGGCGGGACAGGCGC